CATTTTTGCTCTATCCGATAGTTGTCTTCTGCAACAGAATGTCCCTGAGAATTCAAACAAATTAACATCGATTACCAATACAATCAGCCTGCTCAGCTGATTCAAAATGGTTCAAATTCTTCAAACTCAGACAAGTAAATTCCCTTGCATTGACAAAATTCGTGCAGCTTTGGCTGTTGTCATACTGAGTGAAGTTCCACCTGATCAACGGCAGGAACTATGCGTGCCACTCTCAAAAGATCTCCGAGCTCCTTCGAAGAGAAATTACTCACTCCGATAGCCCGAGCCTTACCAGAATCATAAAGTGCCTCCATTGCTCTCCATGTACCGAATATGTCGGGTAGAGTCATGTTTTCGGGCTTAAGACCAACCGAACCTTTTTTAAAACTACTGGCCAGTGTATCTTCAAAATTCATCACAATTAGCAACAAATATAATGACAATTGACACTTAACTCCATAGAAAATCTTAATTTAAAAATGAAGTAAATACCAGATAGAGATCAACATAGTCAAGCTGCAAATCTTCCAAAGTTTGATTTAAAGCCTCTGGTACATCTTCGGGCAAGTGATGGGTGCACCTGCTCATTTTATATGTTGTTTAGATAGTAAAAAAAGGGGGGGGGATCCTATATTTTAAGTCCAACACTACAACCGTTTGAAAATATAACTTTCAAGTAAAACTTCCAATTTAGGGGTTTGAGGATTGCTATGCATATATAGAGGGTAAAATTACGCCCGTGACATTTTATCAATTTAATTTTAATTTAATTTGATAAATTTAATTCAGTATTAACACATGTTACCAGTTGATTGGAGAAAAATAAAATAAAAAACACAAAAATAAAGGTAAACTGAATTGAACATAAGCAACTTAGAAAGTCAAGCACACATATAATCATTAAGTCAAGACCATTTTATGGTTTATACTTGACAAACAACCTGTTATATACATCTTGTATCTTACTATTGAAAAAATAAATAAAACTTGAATTCGTAACATTTTATATATTTTAATTTAAATTCAAATCTTAACTTTGCTCACTAAGTTGGGCAGGTTTGATTTTTCCTACCTTATTTTTTTTATCACGATATGTGTCAATATCTTATTAAAAGATTAAATTTATTTAATTAAATTAAAATTAAAATCAAACTAATAGAATATATAAGTAATCATAATTAAATATATAATTCAAATTATTTAAATAATTAAATAATTTGATTGATAAAAGAAAAAAAATATCAGATTGAAATCTTGGTTACGGATATAATTTACCCATATATATATATATTACTAACTTCTTCGAGGCTAAATAAAATGAGGAAAAAAGCAAGGGGGAAGGAAAAACCATAATCACAATAAGATCGACCGAAGTTTACCCAACTTTAAAATACGGCTAACTGAAGCCAACTAAATGTAAACCGTTGGATGAGTGTGAGGTGGATCTGAACCTTTGAAAAAGAAATTTCAATTAAATGAAGGGAAACGAAAAACACCCCATGTCATTGTCACTTTGCTTGAATAGAAGTTTCAGATGATTTAAATCTTCTAGTAGGGTATATAGACTTTCAAAAAGAAAATGATTATTACTTTAATTAAGATTGTGACTAATATTTGTTTATTTATTTAAATTTCTAACTTTATTATAAAAACAGTTATTATGCTCTTACATGTACTTGTAGAAAATAAATTTTGGTCTTAACCAAAATTCTCAACGACAATCAACCATTCCATCACATCACAATACATAATAAAAAAATAGGTAATCGTAGGTAATTAAAGATAATTTTGATAAAGTTATCCGCAGTTTCCATTTTTACTCTCTCTCTCTCTCTCTCTCCTACAGTTTTAAGATGAAATTGAGAAAAAAAATAAAAGTATATAGGAAAAGCAAAAAATATAAAATTATTCGTTTGAAAGAAACGATATTGGTTTTGATGTTTGAGCTATAATTATAGTTTAAAATTTTAAAATGTGTACAAATCAAGAACCTCTATGGTTAAATGAATGATTGTTATCTCTAGAAATTTTGGATTTGAATACGTCATCTGTAGATGTATTTAAGCATTAATTGTCAAATAATTGAGACCTACATGCTATCAATTGATCAATTGATCGAAAGTGTCTTGTCACCATTTTCATCTCAAAAAAATAAATAAATATTATTTCGATATTTAATTTTGAATTTTTAGATTTAATCATTAATTTTATATATTTGATTTCGTTCTTTATTCACTTGTCAAACTTAAAAATTTGATTTTTTTCACAGAGATATATTATTTTTATAAGGATCTTATATGTGTAATTGTAATATAAATTTTAAAATTTTCATTTTAATTCCTATAATTTTAATATTTTTTTTTCAATTTGGTCTCCATGCAAAATAAAATTGCAATCTAACCAAACATGCAAGCAGCTACCACCTACCCTGACAATGTCAATGACAAGTTAAATAGGAAGAAATATTATTATCACATTAATGCTAAAATCACATCACTAGTAGATTGAACCCAACAAGTAGATTGAAAAATATTCAGCCAACAGAATCACGTCACATTATTGATAAAAAAATAAATTTATCTAAAAAATATTTAAGACTAAAAAAATTAAAATACTTGCAATGAGATTTAAACTCAAAAATTTAATAATTATTATCAACATTCTTAACCCCCAAACAAAATATTATTATTTAATAAAGAAATACATTTTATTAAAAGTGCTTTCATATTAGAATTAAATATTTTAATTTATTAATCAAAGTAGAAATAATATTTTTTTTTGTTGCCTTCCCAATTCCAAGATTTTATTTTGCCTAATCCGGATCGATCCGCGTCGTACACCTAGTCTTGGTGGATGAGTCTCCCAATAAAGATTTTCTACATACACAAAGATTCTAACTCGAAACCTTAAACGATGTCAAGCTACTTACTACTTAAACTAACACTTGTTGGTAAAATAAAAATATATTTTATATAATATAAATAAATATTATTTTAATAAATAATTTAAAAACATCAAATCTGTAAATAAATTTTACAAGTGTGTTATAGAAATAAATAAGCTCGAACTGTTGCCAATCCCAACTAATACTTCTATCAATTATACTAAGAAACAAATTGGGTTATAGTCATACGATAAAGTCCAAGCTGTAAAGTCATACGATTATTAAATAAACAAAAATAGATGATTAAGATTAACAGTATGAATTAATGGGGTTGGTTTAAGTGATAAGTAAAGTCATGTATGCGATTCGGGTTGGTCCAAATTAGTCAAGGAGAAGCCTTGGAACTGGAGGGCAACAAAAAAAAAGATTAACAGTAGGAAATGAGAAGATATTTATTAGAATAAAAATAAAGAGTTAATCACACTAGTATATTTTCACTCATTCAATAATCTTAAATCTGTCTAAAATTAAACGAATATATACAAGCAGTCATTATACCTATCTTTTATTAGGTGCAACCATTTTCAAATTTTAGACCATCAATGAATGAAGATTAACTTTAAATATATATGTATATGGAGGCAGTCCCTACCTGCCTCAATTAATAAAAATGCAAAATTTGACTTGAACTCATTGCAGGAATAGCAATCTGTTGGCCAAAAAAGAGTGTTTTTTCTTCATTTCAGACTGCACTAAATGAAGTGTAATGATAATTAATTTTTTTGGTTAATTAACCTTCTTTCTATTTATTAAGGGATTTAAATAAAGATTTATTCATATCAAATTAAATAAAAATAATAAACTAATAAAACGTTCTCATTAAATAATTAATATGAAGTATATTCTTAAAATTTTGATTCTGAAATCTTTATTAAACTGAAATAACCCCATATGATACGAGTTATGCTTAATTGAAAATATGGAGAGGATTGCGAGCTAGAAACAGCCCACAGTGAGCACCAAATCAACGTCTGCTGCCCATTTTGCTTGACAAAAAAAGAGGGGTTGACAGTTCTACTCGGCCTGCAACAGGCAGCTGGTTTATCTGCATTTTTATCAACAACAAAAAGGGGTTGAACATTGAAATTTTCTATTGTTTTGACCCAATTATAGCTTTCATTTCCTAATATTTCAACTTCTTTACCTTCTTCGGCTCATGCTTATGACTTTTAAGTTACGTCATGAATATCATCATCACATCTGCGATTATTATCAACTTAAGTAAAACCATATAAATGTGACAGTGAAACCCTGGAAATTTACAATGAGCAATTATTGTATAAAAGGAGTTTAGTATAAATTTATTTCTCTATTCCCTTGAATTGACTTATTTTTTGAGTTAATCAGTTGATCTTAGTGTCAAGGTTAGGGATGGTAATGGATTGAGTCAGATTTTTTATCTAACAGAATTTGATTTGAAAATTGAAGTTTTTCACTCGCATTCGACTTAACTTGGGTTTAAGACTATTCCACCCGATCTAAAATCTGATCCGATATTTTATGTTAAAATCTGCACTCAATGCGACCAAATCCATATATAATTTATTTTTTATTAGATAAAATTAGGATCTAATTGAAAAAAATAAAACTTAAAGAGATATTATTAGTCTATTACAATTATCTCTAAATAAATAAATGATAATTATAATATTATCTCATATTAGATCGAGTTTTTTTTTTACTTTAAACTTGAATCTGACCCAACCATACCCTAAAAAATATGATCCAATTTAAGCCTATTTTTTAAAATAAAAAATTATTCTGACCAAATCGGATCAAATCATAACCCATCGAATCCGAGTGTAATTACAATCCCAAGTTAAGATACTAATAGTTGGTGCAATGGTGCTTTACCTAATACAACATTAGATGTTGGAGAACAAAAAGTAGCCGAAGCTTCAGCGAGAGCCACCATTATACTATGATAGCACGCCACTCGTGACCTTGTCTCTACTACATTTCCTCACTTTTGACCAAATCCAGGCTTCTTACTTTATTATTACAAGACAACACGTCCAAGGGTTTCATTTAGAGCTCATGATTCAGCTCTCATGTCTCCGTAGACACACGGGGTTGTTTTGTTTCTGTCTTTTAGAATAGTCAACTTAGCCGTCAAACTTCCCACCCTATTCACAGCATAATTGAGCTTCCCCTTCTTTATATATACCTCAAACACCCGTTCCCTTTTTCTCATGTTCTTTTAGCCATAAACCCAGAATATTCATAATGAAAAGAGGAATAGAGTGTGTAGAGATTCAGGGTTTCTACATTGCAAAATGTCTAATGCTGATATCTCAAGGCCTAGAAACCCAGCAAAAACACCATTCGGCCAGCGAGGTTTTCGAGTGCAAAACTTGTCACCGGTGCTTTCCGTCATTCCAGGCATTGGGGGGTCACCGAGCAAGCCACAAGAGACCCAAATTGGTGGGGGACAAACCAAACAAAACAACGCATTTCCTTAGTTTATCATCGACCGATCAGTCCAAGACTCATGAGTGCTCAATTTGCGGCCAAGTGTTTTCCATGGGACAAGCTTTGGGTGGACATATGAGGAGGCATCGAATCACCATGAACGAATGCTTCTCTCCGTTTCCGCTTGTTCCGACGGTGCCGGTCTTGAAGAGATCGAATAGTAGTCGGAGGGTGGTTTGCTTGGACCTGAATTTGACACCGTTGGAGAATGACTTGCAAGTTTTGTTTGGGAGCAAGGCTCCCAAGGTTGATCTTTGCATTTGATAACATGTGAATGTTATTTTTTTTCTCTTCTTTTGATTTGTATTCTTTTATTTGTTTCTTTGGCTTCCTCTTCTGTTGTTCATTTGTTGTAGTTGAAATAGAAAATTTTAATAATATTATTACTTCATTTTCTCCCTAAAATCATCATGGTTGTAACAAGATAACAACTTATAGGGTAAACTTCCAACTATCACTTTTATTCCGTTTTAATCATCCAATTATTTTTTGTTTCAAGAAAAAGAAAAAAAAATAAAAAAGGCAAGAACAAACTCACTTCTTTCTCTCATTCAAAACCGTGCATGAGACTTTCACCTCGTAGGGTTCTTAAGTATCATACCTAACGTTAAGTTTAGTTTTATTTTTGTCATTATCATAAGATAATGTCACATCATCATTAAAAAAAATTAAAGTATCACGTCAATTGTTATGTTATTTTTTAATGACAGGTGATTAAAATAAAATCAAAACGTAATGTTAAATATGATTTAAAAAAATAATTGAATGACGAAAAAAAAAAAAATGATAGTTAAAATACCAAAGCCTAACTAAGGTTGATTTTAAAAAGTTAAGGTTGGTAGACACCAAAAAATTAGAAGAGAGGGAGCTTGATCTTTATTAATCTGAAACTTTTTTTTTTTTTGCTAGAATGAACCAGAACCATGATCATAAGAAATGTTAGTTTTGGATGGTAAAAAGGAGGAGAGGGAGAAGCAGGGCTCAAAGATTAAGTTGACCCGTGCAAGAACGTCAAAGATGATAATAATAAAATATATCTCCGTTCAAACTTCATCCAATGAGAACGATGGAAATTAAAAAAAAAATTCGAACTTTTCCTTATATTAAGTCGTTATGGTTTTTTACATAAAGATTTTATATGGATCCCATGTTTCTATGCAAAAGTGATGTCAAAATGTAATTTTGAGACAAAATAAAATAAATAAATTATAGAAATTGAGTAAAATAAATAACTTTATATTAATAAGTGGAGCGTCACGTGTATATATTATTATACATTTATATTAATATGTGGAGCAAAGAAGAGACCCAATGCCCGAAAAGAATGCCCCAATCTTCAGGCCTGAAAGTCTGAAACACCCCACGCCGCCATGAAAGCTGAAGCTTTTCTTCCTCGTACGTATATATTTCCATAGTGGCAGCTACCCTTGTTTCAAAACGCTCGACTCCCCTTCTCCCTTTTGTATGAGGTTTACCATGTCAGAACCAGACAAACGTCATGATTTTATACATAAGAAAATAAATTAATTATTGTATATACGAAAACTTATCAAATATTCTCAATAATAAAATAAATTATTGACCTCTTTAGAAATTTTAGATCCGAATAACGAGATTCACAAGATACGTGTACATTGTGAATAAATTAAGAAAGTTTTGGAAAAAAATTATTAAAAAGTTATTGAATATATGATTTCTGAAGTTTCAGTGATAGTTCACAGCCTTTTGTGACATTCTCATTTGCTTAAGCATTTACGATTGGTGTCATTCTAAAAAGGCTCCCAAATTCATTCTTTTAATGACATAAAGGACCCAGCTTTACAAATTATGCAATTAACCAGAATATCAAATAGCAAAAGAGTTTTATGGTTCGATTTGACTACTTTGGATAATGGTTTGCAAAGCAAGCATCGTTTGGGGAAATGGCTCTTAAATTTCTTGTTTTTTTTAACAAAAGTCTTAATTTTTCGTTTATAATTTTCATGCAAAGGATTGTAAGTTATGATTATTTTCTTTTCTGAAATAATGGCATGATGAACTTACAATAATTCCCTTAGCGGCTGCTAGTCTCATTTCTCCATCACTCAACGCCCCTATCTCCTTTCTGTACGAGGTTTATCGTGTCTGATGCAGACAAACATCATGATTTTATGTATAAGGAATTGAATTGATTAATCCAATCCAACCAAACTTGTAGACACTCATTTTCGCCCGGAGTTATTGTGTTTTTTTATTATAGTTTGTAAAAATGTTTTTGACAAAATATAATATATATAATTTTCAGAAAATGATTTTCGAAAATTTATATATTATATAGTTTTTGAAAATATTTTGAAAATATATATAATATATAGTTTTGAAAACATTTTGAAAACGTTTATATATTATATAGTTTTTAAAACATTTTGAAAACATATATAGTATATAGTTTTAAAAACATTTTTTGTGAAATTATATAATATATAGTTTTAAAAACTTTTTTTTGAAAACTTATATAATATTTTTAAAACGTTTTGAAAACTATGTAATATATAGTTTTGGAAACTTTTTTTTTAAGTATAATATATAGTTTTCTAAAACATATTTTTGATATATATATATATTATATAGTTTATATCATATTATTTATTTTATTTTATTTTTTATTAATTTAATTTAATTTCATATATTTTTTTTCTCCAGGTCCAAAAACGGGTCCAGAAACGGGTCCAAATCCAGTCAGACGGGCCTGATCCAGCCCAGAGGTCAAATTAGGGTTCCAGTATATGTCACAACGCCACACAACAGGGGACCGTTGGATCAACAAAGAGATCAACGGCCAACATAGCAAGGGAATCAGGGTTTGTTTAACCCACAAAGAGCTATCAGTCGCGGCCGATCTTGGACCGTTGGATCTGACCCAATCCAACGGTCAAGATCAAATCAAGGTTACCAGAAGCCTGAACGCCACCACACACCGGTCACCGAGATTTCCGGCCGAGGGGATCGGGACTGACCCATCCCGAAATCCCCGGCCAACCAACCACGATCCCGAGATCGTCGGGACTCCCAACGGCCGGTAGGGGTTATAAAAACCCACGACCAACACAGTACAGAGGGGGTTATCGGGAACCAAACAGAACCCACAGAGAGCATCGTCGAGAATTAAACAACCACAAACAAACAACGAGAGTGAGACCATCAACAAGGTCAAAGCAACCAACCACGAAAATCAACTGAAGCCAACAGTACATCAGAGTCACAAAAACCAGAAACCAGAAGACATCAAAAACCCATCAAACCACAACTACCAAATACATCCAAGATACAAAGCAAAATATATCAAAGAAAGGATCGAAACCCTTGGCGCGAGGAAAAGCACCACCGTGAGGAACGAAAAACGTCGGGATACGAAGGGTTTTAAGGGTAAAAATCGAATCTTTACGCCTAGATCTACGCCGGTAGGGGCATATTTTGTGTTTTTGAGTCACAGATTTAGGTTTACGGGGTGGAGAGGAGTATTTTGAGGGGCTTTGGTTTTTTCGACCACCGCGAGCGGCGGCCGTCGGCGGTCATGGATAGCGTCGGCAGGTGGTCGGAATTGCCAAGGAAGAGGGGTTCAGAGCCTTCTCTCGTTTGAGAGAGATGAATCTATAAGGAAATGTTGAAAATGAGCTGAGAAAAGATGTGTTTGGGCATTTATATACGAGGGACCAGTGTGCAAATAAAGGATTCTTAAATCCTCTCCGCAGTCCCTATCATTTTGAGTCGCAGTTCAATTTGGTCACTACCTGTAAATTTGCCTTCATATTTCTGATTTAATCAATTTGGTCCCTATTTATATTTTTTTATATTCTGTGAATTGGTCCCCTAACTTTTTATTTGTTCTTTTGCAGTTCATTTTCTAATTCATTAAGCTCAATTTGTTCCAATTTGATCCTAAGTTTTATCTTTATTTTTTTTATTTTACTTTTAAATATTTTTTAAACTTAACCTTTTATTATTATTTTTTTATTATTTCTTTCTTTCATTATTATTATTATTTTTTATATATTTTATTCATTTTTTATTTATTAGCATTTTGTTTTCTCTTTTTATCTAACATATTTTGTTTCAGTCGTGATTTCAGCCGATCAAATGGTAAGTAATTCGGATCGAATAATTTTAATTTTAATTTAAATTCCAATTTTCGCAATTAAAGACAACCGATAAATTAATTGGTACCGAAAGGGCGGTTCAAGGTTGCTAATCCTTCCTTGACCGTAATCGACTCCCGAACCCGACATTTTTTTGGTACAACGCAGATCAGGTAAGATGGTGTCCAACCCACCTAAATTCGTTTTAAAGTGGTCGGTGGCGACTCCCAATCCACATTTTCCAAGTCGAAGCCCAATTCCGGGGCCCAATCGAAAGACGGTTGCGACAAAACTTTTTCTTAATTGCTTTGTTTGTACGTATATGTGCACACTATTATGTTGACAGTTGACTATAAATGCCCTATGAGGTTCATAGATTTTCTCACAAAAATAATAACATTTCCGAAGTTTCAGTGCTCGTTCACGGCCATAGCAGCTCGCCATTAGTGACATTTTCTTTTGCATAATGCTTACGTAAGTTGCATTCATTTCTTTTCCGTCTGCTGAAAAAAAGCTCCCAAATTTATTTAATGCCATAAAGGACCAAGCTTGGTGATTTTTGTTCCAGTCAAATAGCAGATCGTAGGTACAAATTATGCATATAAATACAAGCTCTAATCTTTCGTAGTACATTAGCTCTTGTTCATCTACCTTTGGTCTTAAAACCCAAAAATATTTCGTTACATTTTGTTTGTTAGAGATGAAGAGAAATCTTGAAAATTAAGAGAGAGTGATACTCGAGTCCATCGACACTACAAAATGTCTGATGTTTATTTGTCAAGGCCTGGAAACCAAGCCAAAACCAGACCATTTGGTCGACGACGATGTTTTCGAGTGTAAAACTTGTCATCGTTCATTCTTCCAAGCACTGGGAGGGTATAGGGCGAGCCATAAGAAACCCTGATTGATAACTGATAATGAAGGATTAGCAAATGGTTCCAAATCCAAGGCAAAGATCCACGAGTGTGCAATATGCGGTAAAGGGTTCACAATGGGACAAGCTTTGGGAGGCCATATGAGGAAACATAGAGTTTCCACTAATGAAACTTTGAAGCCTGTTTTGCCTTCAAATCTGCCGGTGTTGTGGAGATCGAATAGCGGAAGTTTGGATTTGGACTTGAATTTGACTCCTTTGGGGAATGGTTTGAGAGCAATTTTTGGGACAATGGCTCCCAAATTTGATCTCGGCTTTTGATGATCTCAACCTAAATTTATTGCCTTTTCCCCCCTCAACAACATTCTTAATTT